ACAAGACATAGCATTGCGAAGGGAATTTGCGTAATTTTAGTATATACATAGTTTACGGGCAAAAAGCGTCACCCTCAAAAAATTACTTTTGGAATTGAATTGCCGTTTGTGATATTTCATTCTAGATAATGTAATGGTTGAACTAAAGTTAATGGGAAGCTGCTGTCATCCTTCAAGCATAATGTGAATATAGGAATTATTGAAAGTCTACTAGTCCTAAATAGGTTGACTGTTGGAGATGATAATGAAGGTTCTCTAAACATTGTGAACTTGCTGCTTTATAGCTTTTAGTTGTATCAAAAGGAAATCAAAGGAAAGACGAAGAATTGACTACATATAATATGGTCTTGAAACTTGTACTCATAGACTTTATATGATTATGCTAAACAAGTTCCCTCAAGCGGTTTACAAATCCTGATACATCTGATAATAGTTTATAATTGCTGTTTGGCTAAGTACCACAGTGGAGGCTGGACTTTTCTTTCCTTTACTCCTTACTCTAGATGCTTATTTTCGAGGTTGCATAACAAAGGAAAATATTCTCAATGCGATTACAGATGAATCGGATACTTTTTGCTAAGATTTTAATTTAATTGAGGCATTCTCGTTATTATGTTCTAGGAGCAATAATCCTCCATTTTGACGATCAATTCTGTTTAGGTTAAAATATCAGATTTCGGACTGTCGCGAAATGGGACAGCATACAGAATGAAAACCGCACAGAAGATGCCAATAAAATGGATGGCGCCGGAGAGTATTACAACTTATACATTTACTCAAAAGACTGATGTCTACACGTTTGGGGTAAGCGTAGAAAGCATTAGAAGTACTAAGCTTGTCTGAAGGATAATCGCAAATTTGAATTAATGACTAGCTAGCAAACCCGGCTTCGCTCGATCCGCTGTTATCAAACTCTCCCCTATTGTTAAGATTATCGAAAGCTAAAAGCAATCCATCACTTCACCAAGAAAATTAATATACACAACAAGCAGTAAGAATGCTAAAAGTTGCGAACATCTTTCGATATCCCGTTCTTCCAGACTCAATTTATGAGCCTGGTTTTAACTACGTAGCGAATGCTTAGAGGCCTTGTCTAAAGGCT